TGTGATTAGATTGATTTTTGGCTTAATACCGGGTGTGGTACAAATTTTATGGTTCTTTTTCAAAATGTTAATTACAATCATGAAATCTCAATGAAAGTGAAGAAATTCATCAACGGTTTTGTATGGAATTTACCACCGGATTTGCACAAGACTTATCCTAATATCATTGATGCTATTAAGAAGATTCATATTCCTTTAGAGAAAAAAGAGGATAATTTTATTTGAAGACATTCTTACTCTAGATCTATCTCCCTAAAAGAGACTTATCTACATCACATACTACCTAATCAATTCATTTGTAATTGTTCCATACCCCCTTCTAGAGCTCTACTTGTTCGGCGTCTAGTGCATAATCCTATACCTTATGATTATTACCAGAAAATCAGAGGATGCAACATTAGATCTATGTGAAGCATCTATAACTCCAATGAAGAATCCACTCTTCATATTTTCTTCAAATTTCAATTTGTTGCAAACCTGTGGCACTGGTTCAGTAGCCTCATTAACACCAAGTTTGATCCTTCCACTCATATAGACCTTTAGAATCTTGTGGATAGCAGTTGTAGCCCACAGTGTACTCTTGTCATTGATGTGAAAATTGTCAACATTGTAAATTATATTTGGTTCCATAGAAACTATAGTCGATTCAAGGATACCGAACCTAGTATATTATAATCTAAATCCATGATTCTAATTAGTTCTGCTTTTTTTCTTGGAATGCCACCAATCTTGCTTCATGCCCTTCAATAAGGAACTTTGTTATTCTCAAGGCCTTTTAGGTTAAGGTGCACCCTTCTAAATACTCCTTTCCCAAAGAAATAATTAGGTTCACTCCATTTCTTAATTGGTAGAAGTGTAATACATATATGGTTGCTCGTGGTTGCCCTGGTATTGCCTCTTGTGTTGGTGTTTATAGGAACCACAAAACATAATTTTTGGGATGTTTCACTACTAATCTTGGCATAGATATAACTTATCATGTGGATCTCCTTAGGGTCATCCATACTATAAAGTGTGCTCATGTTTGAAGTTGGCAAAACCTCTAGATAGAAACAGATTCCAAAATAGTCATTTTGGCTTACAACGCTTCCTCTCTTGTGCCTTGGCATCTAAGAAACAAATGAAATAATTGTATGAATCTTATTAAATACATGCAATTTACTATTTCTCACATTTATAGATAAGGTAATAGTTTTGCCGATAAGTTAGTTGATGCAGGTCTTAATGTGGTAGGTATCACTTGGTTTGAATAGCTCTCTAGAGATGTTATGGATTTGTATAATCATGATAGGTTGATTCTTCTCAACTTTAGGTTTTGTTAATGTTGAAGGGTTTGGTTTTTCCCAAACCCAACACCCCCTTCTTTTTATTCCTTTCTCTTTTCAATATATTAGTGGTGGTAAAGCTCACATTTATTTTAGACAAAAATATTTGCATATTTTAATATAAAGAAAATCATAAATATCATTTTAATAAAATTTTCTAGAAACAATGATGGTTTACTTTTAAGCCATTTTTAAAAGTACATTCTTTTTAAAATAATTTAATTTTTCTTTTGGTCAAATATTATTCAAATAAAAATTTCTAAAATAATAAATTTTCAATTTATATTTAAAATGCATTGAACAACCTCACAACTAAGACAAGAAAATATTTGTTTACAAAAGAAAGTTATTAGTAGTTATCCTTACTCATTTATGCTTTTTTATTCTTATATTTATATTTTTGTTGTTGTGGTGGTTTGATTGGATGCATCTTATATTTTCAATTGTTATATATATATATATATATATATATATATATATATATATATATATATATAGAGAGAGAGAGAGAGAGAGAGAGAGGATACATTGTTTTTCATTCAATTTATATTAAATTGACACATAATTTACTAGTATATATAGACAATGTATCTTGAATCTTAAATCATCACATAATTAATAGTTTTGATTCTATTTACTAATAAGAGATGAAAATTTTTCAGAGGATTTTATCCTCTCTACTCTTAATCAAATTTGCTCTTTTGGTATTGTTCATTAATAATGCCAAAACAAATGCAATTCGCTTCCAGATAACAACACCTCATGAAAATGGTTATTTCATGCTACCTGAAAAACTTAATCATGAAATAAGAGAAAGCTCAAGAGGTTTTGAAAGAGAGAGAAAATATCATTCGTTTCAATCTGGTAATATTGATGGCATTTCAAAACCACCCCCATCAGGTCCTAGCAAAGGTTCGAATAATAAACCACCCCCATCAGGTTATAGCAAAGGTCCTAATCATGACATGTTCCCCTCTCAAAAAGTTCATATAAGTGGTATTTCAAAACCACCCCCATCAGGTCCTAGCAAGGGTTCAAACAATCGACCACCCCCATCAGGTCCTAGCAAAGGTCATAATCATGATATGCCCCCTCCTCAAAAAGTTCATACAGATGGTATTTCGAAACCACCTCCATCAGGTCCTAGTAAAGGTTCAAATAATAAACCACCCCCATCAGGTCCTAACAAATATCCTAATCATGACATGTTTCTCACTCAAAAATCTCACACTGATGGTATTTTAAAACCACCCCCATCAGGTCCTAGCAAAGGTTCAAATATTCAACCACCCCCATCAGGTCCTAACAAAGGTCATAATCATGACATGTTCCCCCCTCAAAAAGTTCATATTTATGGTATTTCAAAATCATCCTCATCGGGTTCTAGCGAAGACTTAAATAATCAACCACCCCCATCAAATCCTAACAAAGGTCATAATCATGACGTGTTCCTCCCTTCAAAAATTTATATGTGATGTATGGATCAATTGTAATACATTTTTATACAATAAATTGTTTGAGGTAATCTATATAATTTTATATATTAGTCCGATAATAAACTATATGTTTCTCGTATAGTGATTTTTAATGTTATTTTAATAAATAAAAAAACTTTCTTCTCTAATTATTTAATTGTTGGGTATTTTTTATTTGACTTATTTATTCAGCTTTTTTTTCTTGTGGTGTTGAATTGTAATATCTCTTATATTTTCTATCTTTACAAATATATTTTTCACTAATAAACAAATTAAAAATTTATATATATATATATATATATGTGTGTGTGTGTGTGTGTGTGTGTGTGTGTGTGTGTGTGTGTGTGTGTGTGTGTGTGTGTGTGTGTGTGTGTGTGTGTGTGTGTGTGTGTGTGTGTGTGTGTGTGTGTGTGTGTGTGTGTGTGTGTGTGTGTGTGTGTGTGTGTGTGTGTGTGTGTGTGTGTGTGTGTGTGTGTGTGTGTGTGTGTGTGTGTGTGTGTGTGTGTGTGTGTGTGTGTGTGTGTGTGTGTGTGTGTGTGTGTGTGTGTGTGTGTGTGTGTGTGTGTGTGTGTGTGTGTGTGTGTGTGTGTGTGTGTGTGTGTGTGTGTGTGTGTGTGTGTGTGTGTGTGTGTGTGTGTGTGTGTGTGTGTGTGTGTGTGTGTGTGTGTGTGTGTGTGTGTGTGTGTGTGTGTGTGTGTGTGTGTGTGTGTGTGTGTGTGTGTGTGTGTGTGTGTGTGTGTGTGTGTGTGTGTGTGTGTGTGTGTGTGTGTGTGTGTGTGTGTGTGTGTGTGTGTGTGTGTGTGTGTGTGTGTGTGTGTGTGTGTGTGTGTGTGTGTGTGTGTGTGTGTGTGTGTGTGTGTGTGTGTGTGTGTGTGTGTGTGTGTGTGTGTGTGTGTGTGTGTGTGTGTGTGTGTGTGTGTGTGTGTGTGTGTGTGTGTGTGTGTGTGTGTGTGTGTGTGTGTGTGTGTGTGTGTGTGTGTGTGTGTGTGTGTGTGTGTGTGTGTGTGTGTGTGTGTGTGTGTGTGTGTGTGTGTGTGTGTGTGTGTGTGTGTGTGTGTGTGTGTGTGTGTGTGTGTGTGTGTGTGTGTGTGTGTGTGTGTGTGTGTGTGTGTGTGTGTGTGTGTGTGTGTGTGTGTGTGTGTGTGTGTGTGTGTGTGTGTGTGTGAAATAAATTTTTTGAATAAAATTCATTGAATTTATTCATGCAAATAAGTTATTGGAAAAGTAATTATATAATATAATAATATCATAAACTAATATAAATCATAAACAATTATGCTTTATGTAAATAATTAAAAATAAAAGATAGAGTAAAAACATAAAAACCTATGTTGGTGCAAGGTGATAAAATGAGAGAAGAAGAATGAGCAATGAATGATAACAAAGAGGACTACTATTATATATCAAAAGAGGAGTGAATGAGTTACAATATTGATAGTCTAGGTAGCATATTTATACTAAAATGAAAATGCCAAAAGGCCCTAATAAAGAATAAGCATTAGGAATTGTAGACATTAACTAAATTACATTTCCAACACCATCCCTTAATTTAGATATTCTATCAGAAACTAACGACACCAATTTCATCTCTCAAATGAAGAAATTGATTTGTTTTAACTGCCTTTGTCAGAAGATCTGCAAGCTGTTTCTGAGTGCTACAATGCAGAACTTCTAACACTCCTTTCTGCACTTGACTTCTGAGAAAGTGATACTTTGTCTCAATGTGCTTGCTTCTTCCATGTAGCACTGGGTTCTTGGCAAGATTAATTGCAGACGTATTATCAATCATCAGCTTCAGAGGTTCCTCAACTTCAACCTTCAGATCATGCAGGAGATTCAAAAGCCAAACAGCTTGACAAGCAGCTACAACACCTACGATATACTCAACTTCACATGTTGACAGAGCCACGACAGACTGTTTCTTGGAACTCCAGGAAATGGGACCTCCCAGAAATTTAAACAAGTATCCAGAAGTACTTCTCCTGTCCACTCTGTCTTTGCACCAGTCAGAATCAGAATAACTTACTAATTCTGATTCTGTCTTTCTTTCAGAAGGAAACAACACTCCATATCTCAGAGTTCCCTTAATATATCTCAGAATTCTGATAGCAGCTTGGAAATGAGACCACTTTGGATTACTCATGAATCTACTAACCAATCCAACTGCATAACAAATGTCAGGTCTAGTATTACATAAATACCTTAGAGAACCAACCAACTGTTTGAAGGTTGTTGAATCAACAGAATCACCATCAGAGTCAGAATCCAATTTTTGATTGGTTTTTGATGGTGTCACAGCAACTTTGTAGTTCTGCAACCTAAATCTCTTCAGAAGTTCTTGTTCGTATTTTAACTGATGCAGAATGATACCCTTCTTTGAGTACAGAGTCTCCATCCCTAGGAAATATGTCATTTTTCCTAGATTTGTCATCTCGAACTCATTCATTAGAACTTCCTTGAACTTCTTTATATCTTCTGGGCAGTTACCTATTAGCAAAATGTCATCAACATAGAGACACACCAGAATCATATTGTTATCAGAGTGTTTTACATAAACTCCATATTCCATCTCACACTTCTGAAACCTTTGCTTCTTGAAAAATGAATCAATTTTCAGATTCCAAGCTCTAGGAGCTTGCTTCAGTCCATACAGAGCTTTATTTAACCTGTATACCATCCCTTCTTGATTCTTTTTCACAAATCCAGGAGGTTGTGACGCATAAACTTATTCCTGTAATGAACCGTTCAGAAATGCAGACTTCACATCCAGATGCATTAAAGGCCATTTTCTGTTTGCAGCTAAAGCAATCACCAGTTTGATTGTTTCATGCCTAGCTACAGGCGCAAACACCTATAAATAATCTAGCCCAGGTTTCTGAATAAAACCTCTAGCTACTAGTCTAGCTTTGTGCTTGCCAATGGAACCATCTGGCTTATGTTTCAACTTAAAAACCCATCTGACGCTGATGGATTTTTTCTTATCTGGAAGTTTAGCCAATTTACAAGTTTTGTTTCTTTCTATTGCCTCAAGTTCTTCTTTCATGGCATTAAGCCATTCTTTCTTCTTGAGAGCTTCTTCAATGCCCACTGGTTCAAAATCTACTAAAATGGCACACTGAATGACTTCTCCTTCAGAGTCAACTTCATTATCCCGCAACATGTCAAAATCTGCAAACCTTCTTGGTTTTTGTCTGATTCTTTGTGGTATTTGAGTTTGTTCTGAAGCTGCACCAGAACTACTACTTTCAGAATTACCACCTTCAGAGTTTTCCCTTCCAAAACTATGATCACCTCCAGATTCTAGATCATCATCAACATCTAGATCAGAATCAGATCCATTTCCAGAATTTTCTTCTGACTCATCTTCAGAATCTCCAGGATCAGATTCATCTTCTGAACTTTCTAAAACATCTTCAGAGGCTAACTCTGGTGTTGGTATTACACCAGAATCTGATTGAGATTTGTTCCAATCCCATGCTTCAGACTCTTTCACCACAACGTCTCTGCTGACTTCAACTTTATTAGTTTTTGGACAATAAAGCTTATACGCACCTGTACTGTGGTACCCCACCAGCAATATTACTTTGCTTCTATCATCCAGTTTTTATATTCTAGCTTCTGGAACGTGTTTGTAACAGACAGAGCCAAACACCTTCAGATGACTGACACTCTACTTGTCTCCAGTCCATTTCTCTAAAGGAACAGCTTCCTTCAGTTTCTTCGTTGGACACCTGCTCATAATATATGCTGATGTGGAAACAGCTTCTCCCCATAGCACGTGAGGTAGCTTTTTCTCTTTCAACATGCTTCTGGTCATATCAAGCAAAGTTTTGTTTCTTCTTTCAGCAAGACCGTTGTGTTGAGGAGTATACGGAGTAGTAACCCCATGTTCTATTCCACTCTCCTCACAGAACTTCTGAAACACTGTAGAGTTATACTCACCTCCACCATCTGTTTTCATAATTTTTAACTTCTTACCACTCTGCTTCTCAGCCTTCACTTTGAATTTCTGGAACTCAGTAAACACTTCATACTTGAACTTGATAAGTGTTACTCATGTCATTCTTGTGAACTCATCCATAAAAGACACAAAATAATTGTTTCCTCCAAGTGAAGGTACTGGAAATGGTCCACACACATCAGAATGTACTACTCCCAGAGCATGCTTTTCTCTGGGGGCTACTTCTGATGTAAATGACAATCTAGGTTGCTTGCCTTTCATGCATATCTCACATGACTTCTCAGGCTTCACAATCTTCGAAATACCATGTACAAGCTTCTTAGAACATAGATGCCCTAAGCTTCTATAGTTAAAATGATCCAACCTCTTATGCCACAACTTACTGTTACCTTCAGTGACTTCTGCACTAAGACACATTGCTTCAGTTGTTTTTACGTTTACCTTGAATGTTCTGTTGCTTCCTTGTTCATACTTCATAATTAACTTCTGATTGGAATCATACAACGCCAGAAGATTGTTTTTCATAACAACTGAGAAACCTTTCTCAATCAGCTGACCTACGCTCATCAGATTGCTTCTAATACCATGAACATACCAAACGTCTTTGATCAGAATGTCTTTCCCATTCTTCACTCTAACTCTGACATCTCCCATACCTTCTGCATTAAGATACTTATCGTTAGCACATCTAATATTTGTTCTCCTTCTATAGTCAAAGTCTGTCAGCCATTGTTTGTTTCCAGTTAAATGATTTGAACAACCAATGTCCATATACCACCAATCTTCTGAGCATTTTCCATCAGAATCAGAAGCCATTAGTAGTACAGGTTCATCATCAGAGTTTCTCTTAGCCATATATGCTTCTTCTAATTTCCTTTCCTTGTTTGACCTACAATCTCTGGCAAAATGGCCAAATTGTTTACAAGAGTAACATTGAACCTTCCTTTTGTCATACCTCTCCTTTCCTTTATGATATTTCTTGTCATCAGAAGTTGAGGCTTCTGACTTTTGGAATCTATCACCATGTTTATTCTGCTTC